CTAGAACGAGAAAAAAAAAAAAAATCAGAGAAAGAACAGGATGCCTGGTTATTGCTGGCTATCAAAGCCATACCAACCGTCTAAGATCTGGTTAAACGTTGTTCTCAACAGAAAGTGGCTGAGAACTTTCACCTCACTTACAGTTATCATCCCTATTTATGGTTTCAGATAGTTAGGAAGCTAAAAACAAGGTGCTTCTGAAAACTTCACTCCTCATCTTACTGCTTCCACAGAAAAAATAGGTATTACTTTATGGCAGTGCCCAATAACTCCAATTGAGAGCAGTGCACTGTAGTACACACACGGTCTTCTCAATGGTCACACACATAATTTGACTCTTCCTTTTGCCACTGTGTTGTCTGAAACTAGTTTGCGCTTAACTAGACAGATGTAAAATATATCTCGGTCCCGTTTACATTCACATTTCCACTTCCACAACTGCAGTTGAGTTACTAATATGAACAGTACCCCTACTGGATATGAAACAGTTTTTTCAAACTCAGATTGAGATTCCCTATTTTCCATTCCTGGCTCCACATGACCCAAGATTTATCCTTCTATTTTCTCTCCATTAGCATCTTCAGTATCAAACAGCATAGAAGTCTGGCCTACCAAAAGCTCTCAGAAACAGACACACAAGACAGTTTTGATACCATAGTATCAGCTCCACTGACATTGCTATACATAGGCTCTACTCGTGCTTAAGTATCAAGGTAAGAGTTTCTGAAGTGCTAGCAACAATGTGAGTACATCTGGATAAAAAATGAAAGAAGCTGAATGCTATACTACAGTAGGTATATTATGTATTATTAAGTTAATAAGAATTAAAACACATTTCTGGTCACATTTCAACTTCCTAGAACATCATAATTGGCTTCTCAAAAAAATTAACAATAATCATTAGCACAGGGGAAACGGAGAAATAGCTAGCGGCTTTAAAATATTTACCTGGAGAATACGCTGTACTTGGATTAAGTATTTATCAGATCTGTAGCAAAAAGTTTCCCCAGCATTGCAAATCAATATATTCTAATAACTGATACTTTCTAGGAGTACTACTACCACACTGTTTTCTACAAAAGGGGTTGGCAACGTTTTTGGCCAGAGTGCCAAACACACCCAACCTCAACCCATGCCTCAACTTGGGGCAGACAGCAGAGGAACTGCAAGGGACCCAATCCTCGCTGCTGGCAGCAGGTGTACGTGCACCTCTATGCAGATGGCAAGGGAGAAGCCAGGGTTACACTGCAGCAAGGAAGCTGCACACAGCTGCACCGATGTCCAGAGCCCTAACCCAGTTCTGTGGCCAGAGGCGACTACATGCATTTGGGGGCACACGGCAGGGAAGGAGTCAGGGCAGCACAACCCCAGCCCATTCCCCACTGTCTGCCAAGAGGCACATGTGTACCAGCCACCAGCAACAAGCTAGATGGGAGCTCTGCAGAGCTTGGTGCAGCAGCTTGCAGCCTCCTGGCCACCTGCCACAGCCAGTCAGGGCTTTATATAGGCCCCTGCCACACACAGTGGAGCCCAGGCTGCTCACAGCAAGCAGCAGGGAGGCCACAAACAGCTACACCGAAATCTACAGAGCTCCGGCTTGGCTTGTTGCTTGTGGTGGACGCTGCCCTGACCCCTTCCCTGCTGTGCACCAAGGCATGCATACAGCCATCCCCAGCTATGGAGCTGGGCTGGGGTCCAGGCCCCAGTTGCAGCCTCCCAGCTGCCTGCTACAGCCAGCCTGGGCTCTGGGCAGCTCCTGCCTGCCACAGAGTTCAGGCTGTTCGCAGCAGGTCTTGCAGCCTCCCGGCCATTTGTTGAAAGCAGCCCTGGCTCTGTGGCCAGAGGCAGCTGCCCAAAGCCCAGGCTGGCTGTGCTGTGCTGAGTCAAATGGCCTCACATGCCATGCATGCTGGGGGTTGCCAACCCATCCTACACCTTTCCATACCCCCTACGAAATGTAAATATAGTTGAAAATATATTCATTTAAACCTCCTCTAATTATATTGGTTAAATGATTAATCAATAATGCAGCAGCTGGGGGACAGCTGCTGCTGGGAGTCATTCCAGAGCCCTTTCACTGTGGGGAGAGGGGGAAGAGGCAGGCCCAGCCAGATAGCACAACCCATGTGAAGCTCTGTGCTGGGAGGCAGGGATCACCTGTGAACCAACAGCTACCCACTTAATTGGCAAGTCATTAGCAGGATCCTGGTTTTCTCCAATTTAAAAAAAGCCCTAAAGGAACCCCAAATCCACATTTTCCCATGATTTAAATGAAACACCACTATATATATTTTTAAACTGAAAACTGGGGATTTTTTTAAAACAGAAAACCGGATGGTCATTAGGCTGCTTGCTATTTTCCTTTTAGGCTATGGGTGCTAGTCCCCTTGTCTCTCCCTGTTCCCTCCTCCTTGCCCCTCCCTCCCTCCTGCCTTCTCTGCTGATTCCTGCTGGGGCATCACACATCTTTTCTTCCCCCCTTCCCTGCCTGACTACACCCACACAGAATTAAAAGATAAATCAGTAAGCAAACTAGCCATCACCACACTTATCAGTTAAACGTTAGTCATTTAACCTTTCACATTCCCAACCCCACACCACATTTAGCTCAACAAAATTACTGTAATAAAGTTAGGAATATGAATGCTGATGGCACACTGCAAGTTCACTTATGTTTCAAGTAAAACCAATTGGTATCTATTGAAAAAGTCCACAAAATTATGTTTTCAGAAGGCAGGCCTATATGTAATGAACTGAATAAGTAATAGTAACTAATTTGTGGGCCTATCCCACCGCATTATTAATGCAAGTGGCTTGTTCAAAGACAATTCATTTAAAAAGAAGAGTATTGTAACAAAACTAAGCAAAAAGATGCATTTTAGAAATGCAGAATGGAGACAGAAACTAAAACAAAAAACAAACAAATAAACTTATTTTCTACCAAATGGTAACCCACCATTTTATTATAAAGGTCTTAAAGTACCACACAAACAAGCTCAGGATGCTCTGAGGTGGAGCATTACTCCCCTTTGGCAGATTAACCAAGTTGAGTATTAACCACATTTCTGTAGATAAATACAGAAGGGGTCTATAATAGACCTGAAAATGGAACCTGAATGGGAAAAAAAGTAAGTGGTCTTGTGTATCCAGTTTCAGGCTGACCTGCCCTTATGAATGTAATCTGATATGGTCACTAAACAAAACCAACCATTTTATATGCATTTCACTCTTATTTCCAATTCCCCTACAGTAGCATCTTCTACCTTTAAATCTGTGTTTCAACTTTTTTTTTCTTCTAACTTGATTCACAACATTTTGTTTGTAGTTTATCTGTGCAATTTGCATTATCTTCTTGTGTCACTTCTACAGTTGTTTCTTCAGTAACATTAATCTGTTAATCTGAAGTGGACACTGTGGCACAGCAGGAGGCACAATTGTGTGGATCACACAGATGCCATCGCACCTTTACCTGAACTTGTCGAGGGGCCCTAAAACTGACCCAAATCTTGGCCAGTTTTGCTGAGGGGAGAGCTCCGTACACAGCAGGAATGAAGAATGGCATACTTTTTCACTAGACTGTAGATTAAGAAGTTTATAAGCAGTCTGCAGTCTTGCAAAGAGTGCCTTCCTCCATTTTTCACAATCCATATTTTAAGGATATACATATATTTACAGTCCCAAGAGTTCATCCCTCACTTTTCCCATAAAAAAGACAGCTTAGATTCTGTGGCACTCGCCCAGGTAAATCTCTCTTACCAGGCACAATTACAATTGGATTATTTTTCCAGCTCTAGGCCCTAACTGGAAGAGTGTAAAAACTCATTACATTTTCTAAATTAAGACTTTTCTCAAAAGAGCAATTTTTTAAGTGACTTTTTAGAATAGCAATTGCACAGGAAGATTTCCAACCAGAGATATAAGCACTAATCAGCATACTAAACAAAAGAATAAAGGCTATAAAGAAATCATTAGGCATGGTGGCTTTGTTCATAAAATTTTATGTTGCAATCAATCATGAAAAACTTTAATTACTGTTAATGAGCGCTATGTACCGCACAGAAGAGAGAAATAGGCCCCTTTTAACTCTAAGATAGGGGCATAAAAATACTTACTCTCTAGTTCTTCTTTCTCAAAGTTTGTGTTGACAGTAGAGCTGGTTTTGCCCATATCCACAACAGCTTCTTCATCATGACCCTAAGAAACAAAATATGAGAATTGTTTAAAATGCAAGAAATAATTAAAACCCATCAGAACGTAGCTGTTTCCAATAATATACATTCTAGCATAGATTACATTGTACACACATTATTTCAGGACAGCCAATCTTTTTTTTTTTTGCTCCAGAAGCTGCTTTACAACCATTTTCTGATACAGAAATGAAACAGGATCCTCTGCGTATGAGCTGGACTGTGAACAAGTTGAGGGGTTTGCAAAAACAGATTTCCATTTTCAGATGAGAAAAATAAAGCTATTTCCTACTCTCAGAAAATATTCTACTAGCGACAGGAAGCATCAGTGATTCAAACTAGGTGAATTATACATCAGTGAAAACCCCAAATTCATCTAAATACAAAAAAAAAAGGGGGGGGGGTTTGCTTCAAATCTACTAAAACAATTTTACCCAGGCATTTCATACATGGGCATTTTACAACACATGCATTTCTCCAGTAAAATCAAAACTAGACATCAGCTATCCTGAAAGGAGAACGAAGTGTATGAAGCTGACTTCAGATCCCCATTTTAGTTAACAACTACATACTTAAATAAGGAAGGTTAGAAGGTCACAGATAACTTGTAGGCCATGGACTCTTTAAATGGATTTGCTGCATCTTGTTTATAAATTGACAGGTAGCTTTATTAAAAGAAAGCTGAGTAAAAACTATCCTTCTAAAACTAAACTTCAGATTTCCCAAATTGTTTTACGAGGCTCTAAATCACAAATCCTATGGAAGCTGTATTAAAAATCAGGCTATGGATCTGTAAAGACTGGGAACCACTGCTCTAGACCAGTGATTCTCAAGCTAGGACCCTGGTTGAGGAGGTGACACTGTGAGGAGAGAAGCATGGGCTGAGGCTCATCCCCATCTGCTGCTCCTACACCTCCACTGCCAAGCAGGAGGTAAGCACAGTAATACAAATTAATTGCGTTTTGAAATGGGTGCTGTTCAATTCACAAAAAAAAGTTAGAGAGGTGTCTCCAATCAAACAAAGGGCACCTCGAACCAAAACAGGTTGAGACCCACTGCTCGAAATTGTGCCTTATCAAGAAATGAAGTGTTAACATACAGGGATGCAAGACCTTTAGACAAGTAGCACTTTGTATTCAGTGACAGAAGGCTATTAAAAAGATCATGGGTACTGATTAATGGAAAATTCTAGGAATTAGCATTTAACTTGAAGACTCAAGTAAATATCTGAAGCTCCACAGATTTAGAGAGATTTCCTTTAACAGCTTCTCCAGCACAAATTGAAGAGTAGTTAAGAGCTAAAAGTCTCTACAATTCATGTTTGTAACACATGATGCCAGATCAAGGCTTTTTATACACTAATAATTTAGTCTGAATTTCCCAAAACTGTATGATTATCTTGTGAACAGTGGCCTAGCGGCACAACTGTAGATAGTTTTTCTTGACTGTACTATCTTATCCTTGGCTTTGGAACTGCCTCTCTCAAGGCCCAGAGCCCACACCTGGACATCCTTCTGAAGGGTATGAGACCTTTCTATTTGGGCTAGTGTTTAAGCATACAAAATGAGACCGAGGTATTGTTTAAAAGACCTATGTTTTATATAGATATTTTAGTTTGGGTTGGGTATTTGACCGAAGTTCAATCAGTTGACTGACTGGTCAAATATAAAAAAAAAATCCCAATAGGTACAAATAATACACAGAACAAAGCACTAATTTTCCATTAAGAAATGTGTCAAAAACAAATTTTAAAAAGTAGTTCTCTCAAGAAAACTACCAAAAAGAGTATAGTTCTTTTTTGTAAAATTGCTATAATCTTTGACTGGTGGAAAAATATATGCAGTCCATTGACAGGTCAATTGACTGGCTTGCCAACCTTAATTCTAGTTCCCTTAGGCTATGGACAGACATTACACATAAACTGTTTTAAGTGATCAGAAACTGGTTTAACCCTGTGACAGAACAGACGTCCAGTGCACAAACTGGTTTGAAAATGGCTGAAACTGGTTTGAGAGAAACCTGGTTGAATGTAGCATCAGGCTCAACTGATTTGTGCCAAACCAGTTTACGCAATGTCTATCCCAGACTCCTTGCTGGTTTAAGTTAAATCAGACTCCCCACAACATCCTCTTTGGCTGGGCAGGGCTCTTTGCTCCACAGCACAACCGGCTCCTCCCTTCTGCTCCCTGGCTGCAGCTTGGCAGAGACTTGCAGGCACAGCAGCGTCTGCCTGACTTCCTATTCCTCCTCTCACCATGCCTTGTTAAGCAGGGATCCCCCATCCCCTCTGCCTTACATGGACACCTCAGCATTATCTAGCACACCACTTGCTGGCTACAGCCTCCAACCGTGCTGTGGCAGACATCAGTGTCGGCTTATCAACAGCTCAACTGGCAATGTCCCTCTGTTCCTTTTTTGTTTAAAGAGTTTGAACTAATGAGAGAGGCTGTTTGTTTTCTGATGAGGTGATAAATGCTGATAACAGAGCTGATAAGTGCTCTGTTATCAAGGGGCCTGCCGGGCCTGGCCATGCCCCCCTCAGATCAGCAGTGTGGAAGGGAAGGGAAGGCTGCTCTAGCACTCCCCAGGCTTCTAGCCCGAGCCACTGCAGGCATGTGCCTGCATGTCTATGTACTTGCAAAGTGATTTAGCCTAGCCAGGTTAGACTAACCTGCATAAAATTGAATCAATTCAGGCTCAGGCTTTTTGAATATCTGTCCTTAGCCTTAAAGTTGTTCTTTAGCTGTGCTCCTGTTTTTGTTTTGTTCTTTTCCTATGCTCCCATTTCCATAATAATAAAAATTATTCTGGCATCTTAAGCCACCCTGAGCCTTTATTGGAAGGGCAGCACATGAATGAAATAAAACAAACCAATCTTGTCCTCCAGGCCTGTTACAAGCAGAGTTAAACAGCAGCATACAAGTGATTTATGCTCAGATCTCCATTACTAAGAAATATGCAACGGTAATGCAACAGCATGAAGCTTGAAGAAAAATAGTGGCTGCCAGAGAAATACGCATCTGCAGAACATGCATCTTCTTTATACCCTCATTTAAAGACAGAACACCTGGCTTGAACAGAGTAAAAGCTCCAGCTTCTCATTCAATCCTCCCAGCAGAAATTGAATTCTTCTCAAGTTTACCTAACAGGTTATCTGGTAAATCCAAGATCAAAATTTGTGCTGAACTTCAAAACCACAATGTGACGGTTGCACATCCTCAGATGGTCAATACTTCTTGTAACAAACAACTTAGATTCCGCACCCTGTGTGTTTGACTTATTGGATGAGCTGGTCTTCCACCGCCACGTTTAATACTCCACAACAGTGGGTTTCTCTTAAACTGCATTTTTTACATTCAACATATGAAGACATTCTTGAACCTGGTGCAATGCAAACCATATTTTTGGTAGCTACAAGCCAGTTAAGCCTCCATATTTCCCTTCCCCCCCCCCCGCTCTTTTTCCTCTATACTTTGGGGATTTGTCCTGTCCTACAGCCTCAGAACCCCTGTCCTGTAACCTCTGCCATTCTGTTGCTTACCCTTGTTTCAGCAGGCTGTGCCCCAACCTAAGGCACAAAGCTCCAACTCCAGCCACACTTAATAGCAGCGACAACAACTCAGAGCAGACCCCAGAGCCGAGACTAGGGCTGCTCCTGCTGCCACTGCTATAGGACCAGGCAAGGCCACAGCCAGCACAAGGCTAAGTAGCATGGAGAGGAAGGGACAGACAGTAGCTGCAGCTTAGGTCCAGATCCCAGGTCAGACCCAGACCCACAGTAGAAACCTGCCCCCTCACCCCAACCACTTCATACTCTATTCCAACATGAGGGGCTTTTCATTATCTGGGGGGCCTAGTCTAGGAATAGAGTAAATACAGCTATTTCATATGCTAAAAGCTTTCCTACCATGTTAAATACCACGAGCACATACAAGCCATATATAGGCGGGAAATGTTCTTAGCTGAAATTTAAAATAAGAAGGAAGAAGGGCAAATGAAATTATACAGAAAAGCTATACATGAAGGAAAGGTTCTTGTATTAAAAGTGGTTATACCGCATAAAGGAAAGCAGAATAGTGCTGAAAGTTCAAAACGAACATCTCTGTGATATGACAGAGCAAATCAATTACAAATTAAAAAATAAATAGGACCATTCTAAATTGAGTACTCAATTCTTTAGTATCCAAAAAACATTTCCCGATGAGAGAGCATGGCCACATCCAATTACTATTAAGATAGCAGCATTCTGTACACAAGCCTAAAAAGTTAAGAGATTGCAAATCAAGACAAAGGTAAGATAAAAGTTTAGAAGGTTGAGTCAAAACATTATATAATAAGAAAAATCTCTCTCAAAATGAGGACTGCTTTAATAACACAGATGAGGCAAAAGTTTAAAATCTAAAAAAGTGTCATCGTTAAACAGATTCAACTTGGGGGGAAAAATATTAAGTGCTCTGTTCCATTCATTTTTTCACAGTATACCCGCTATCAGGGATCTGAATGCCACAAATGCATTGACCAACATGATAGGGTGCTGTCATCATTTTTCTTGTATTGTTCCAGTCAGCTACTCCCAGAAGAAGTGCTGTGTGGAAAGGATTTGTTTATAAAGTGTAGTTATTATTTACTATGCACTTGTATTAGTAATGAGAAAATGAATTACATTTCTGTAAATTCCTTTATTATTCAGGATACTGTAACTAGCACAGTCCACACTGCCTAGAAGCATGACTGTGGAAGAAAAATGCAAGTTTGCAATTCGATATGGCTGCAAATGAGCTCACAAAGCAGGGGTTAAATACCTCCTTATCTATGGACTTGATCATGCTCCCATTTACTTTAATGATTCAGGA